TCTCTCTCTCTCTCTCTCTCTCTCTCTCTCTCTCTCTCTCTCTCTCTCTCTTCTAGCGCTGTGGCGCCATAAACTGTCAGCGATGCCGACAGCACGAAGGAACTCAACACTTGCCCGGGGATCCTTCAAAATTGCTGAAAGTGGGTTACTGAAATGTCCCAGCTCATCCTCCTTTAAACCCCCACTATCCTCCTCCCTCCTCCCCGTCCCCCCACTCCCCCAAATGCCGCTCAAAACTCACCGTCTCCTCGTCGCTGGACAACTGCTCGGGCTGCTTCCCGCCGTCCGATTCCCTCTCGGGTTCCGACTCCCTCTCCCGCCCAGCCTCGCACCCAGCCTCAAAGCTCACCATCTCCTGGTCGTTGGCCCCTGTCCGCATACCACCGTCTAAGAGCTTCTTCGATGTCATCGTCTTCCCCTTCCCTAGGCTGTTTTGCAAAATAACTGCCGTCACTGGAAAACTGCTCAGCTGGCCGCTCCCCGCCCCCCCCTCCGTCGCGGTCCTCAACCGTCTGAGAAATCCCTGGCCAACCACTCGTTGTCCAGAGGTGACGGTGTTCGCCTCTCATCCAATAGCTCCCTGGTTCGAATCCGGATAGCGACGGAAAATTGTCTTTTCTGAACTGTTCTCCTTTCACCTCTTTTCCTGCTCTCTAGCAATGTTCTGTCGTTTGCTTTCGTCTCCACTTTCTGCCCCCACCCCTTCACCTCCTTTGCCCCCTCCTGTGGGCTCTTAACTCTTAATGCAGTCTTTCTACTGGCTACTTATTACTGCTGTCTTTCCGGTACCGTAATGAACATTGCGGGCGAAAAATTTCGAAGGTCTCGTGTACAAATTGCGCACGTTTAAGATCATTTGGTGGTCCAGAATCGATTAAAGTAAGCTTCGGTCGCCACCTGGGCAAAATTAATAATTTCGTACCAACTGTAAATGTTTAATGTGTCCCGTGCGCTCATATGACCTTATGCAGTTCCGAGCGCCCAAAAAAAAAAACAACCCACCAACCAACAAACAAACAAAAAAACATCAACAACAACAAACAAACACCCTAACAAAAACAACAGCCAATGTGTAATGGAAAGAATTCGAGAGAAAAGTAAGATAAGTGAAGACTTTGGTGTGAGGGGAAGAGCATGAGAGAGTTGTAAGTGAAGGTTTTTGTGTGCATATATGTGCCCGTGAATATGTGTGCATGGATATTTGTGTAAGTCTTCGAACGTGTATTTATATGTAACAAAGTTTTTAAAAAAGAAGAAACATTTGGTTCGCGATATTTTTAAAACTGTACAATGCAAATTGATAGGGTTCTGTATCTCTATCAGTGGTTGTTATTTCTTTAACATATCAATACATGACCTGACACGATGGTACATACGAAATGTAACACGTCTAAGATTTGTTACGTTTTCCTAATTCTGTCAGCATGAAAATAAAACAACAAACAAACACACCGACACGCAAACATCCAGGAGCATATTCAGCAGGACAATTCGGCCCCGTGAAGCTGTCACTTAGCAAAAGGTCGAATCTTCATTTCGCTGAAGGAAACCGAGCCCGTTGTTACACTCCTCCACCTCAATCCTTTAGCGTTCTTTGTGCTGCCCCACAGTCCGTTGAGGTTCACGGTATGGCAGTTGTTGTACCACCAAGCTCCGTGGTACCTACTGGCACAGTTGGTGCTCGATGAATCGTTGTCGCTGTCCTTGGTTGAGAACGACTGACCGTTGTGATTAGCCATGTCGTTACTTACATTACCGGAAAATCCCGAAATCTGAATCCTATAGTTGTCTGTTTCTCCAGACAGCAAAAACTTGTCGTAGCTGGCAAAGTAGTTTTTTCCCTGGAATCTCAAATCGAACCTCAGTTCGTGTCTCACCTGGTGATGAGAACGTAAAGATGATGAAAACAACCAGCAGAAAATTAAAACCAGCTGTAGATTCATTTGGCTGTAACACATGCAAAATCCAGTTAATTTGTCTGAGTTGGTCATGGACCCGACAGTGACACAGATGGTACAGGTTCAAATCTGTGCCAGGTTCCAATGCCGGACCTCCCAAAGATTTCCTCTCAACTTGGTGTCCTGAGATGAAGACCACGTCCTCTGCTTTAGAACTGTCCTAAAGTGTGTCGAGAATGGCTGTGTATTTACTCTTAGAAAGACATCAATGAGAAACCCCGTGTCAAAGACAGGAGATGTGTGTCATGCACATCAGCAACAACAACAACAACAACAACAACAACAACAACAACAACAACAACAACAACAACAACAATAACACGTACATCAACAACAACAACAGTAACACGTAAGTCGGCAACAACAACAACAACAACAACAACAACAACAACAACAACAGCGTTGCCCGTGCTGTCGCGTTATTTGTCCAGTAGAGTGCACAATGTCCATGTATTACACTCCTAGTGGTTAGGCTACTCGTAATCGGGAGATGGCGGGTTCGGAGGATTGATCCTCAGCTCGGTCCGACGTTCTGTTCTTGGGAAAGGCACTTTACACGAAATTCCTATTTGGCTCTGTCCTTTCGGAGATGGACGTTAAATTCTGAGGCACCGCCTCTTAAATAACCAAATAGTCTTGATAGAGACTTTAAACCCATATTCGTGTTTTTGTATTACACTGTCACGACGTTTGGACAGTCCACTGCGGCAGTTTTCAAATCGAAAACAACTTGCCTGACTTGTCAGCTGGTGGATTTTCTCTAGCCCGAGCCAGAAGTTGCCGTAGAGGTCTCCAAATCCGTTCTTGTAGTCCTCCCAGCCACGGGAAAAGTCCACGTCGGCCGAAGCACGTCTCTGCAGAACATACCAAAACAGTACGCGTTATTCTAAGTAATGCCTTGTGTCATAATTTAGCGTGCTAAATCCCATTGTTGGAGTTATCTTACTGGACTTTTATCTACTTCTAAAGTATAAATAGTTAGTTTAAAGTTGCCTGTTATGTTTCATAACTGTTCTGAGAGTAGAAAGACCGTTGTAATGCTAATGTTTCCTGGGAGTTTGTTTTATTGCATTTACTGTTTCTTGTTTATTGAGAAGCAAACACGTTGAAACATTATAACCCCATACTATGTCTTTGTGGAGGTATGTATGGTGTACTGTACACGCGATTACTTTTATTGCTTGGAAAATTGTTTAGCAACAACTAGCCTTTATTATAGAAAATTAATTATATTGATCTCACCTGGGTTGCACTAGCCTGTGCTCACATGTATTGTACCAGCCTGCACTCACCTGTATGTTACTGAGACAACTGCACTCACCTGTATGGTACTAAGACAGTACTCACCTGTATGTTACAAAGACAGTACTCACCTGTATGTTACAAAGACAGTACTCACCTGTATATTACTAAGACAGTACTCACCTGTATGGTACTAAGACAGAACTCGGCTGTACTGTACCAGCCTGCACTCACCTGTATGTTACTGAGACAAGTGCACTCACCTGTATCACGATCCATCCACCTTGGTCCGTCACTGTGTCACAGACGACACGCTGGCCGCTGGAGAGAAGGACCACCGGTCGAGGACCCAAACCCTTGACACTAGCGCACGACTGGGGCTAGAGAGAAATCCACAGAGAGGAATTTGATGAACGGCCGTGGGAAATGGAGAGAGATTAAGTTTGGCGGAGATATCAAGCCAGCATACTCCGGAGAGAGCGAGCGAGCGAATTAAATTTTAATTTTGGGACTCCGTGAAGTATTTTGTGTCAGTTAGGCAGCCAGTTTCTCAGTTTATCCATTCATAAGTCAATCAGTTTACTGCTCAGTCGGTTAGCCGGTTTAGCAACCAGTCATTCAACATATTTATCACAAAATCCACTCACCAATTTATCACATACTCCATTAGCCAGTTTATCAAAAAACTACACCAACCAGTTTATCAATAGACAATACAGTTTCAGCTCCACAACATAATACTATCCCACAACTCCAGGGTGAAACTTTCCTGCTCAATATAGGAAGATAAATCAAACAGTGAAAATATAGGAAGATAAATCAAAGAAAATATAGGACGGTAAATCAAAGAAAATATAGGAAGGTAAATCAAAGAAATATAGGAAGATGAATCAAAGAAAATATAGGAAGGTAAATCAAACTGTGAAAATATAGGAAGATAAATCAAACAGTGAAAATATAGGAAGATATCCAACATTGAGAGTACAGGAAGATATCCAACAGTGAGAGTATAGGAAGATATCCATCAGTGAGAGTATAGGAAGATATCCAACAGTGAGAGTGTAGGAAGATATCCAACAGTGAGAGTATAGGAAGATATCCAACAATGAGAGTATAGGGAGATCTCCAACAGTGAGAGTATAGGAAGATATCCAACAGTGAAAGTATAGGAAGATATCCAACAATGAGAGTATAGGAAGATATCCAACAGTGAGAGCATAGGAAGATATCCAACAGTGAAAGTATAGGAAGATATCCAACAGTGAGAGCATAGGAAGATATCCAACAGTGAGAGTATAGAAAGATATTCAACAGTGAGAAACTCTCACCCATAGCTTGTCCTCGACATCGCTCAGCCTCTGCTCCAAACTGGCCTGTACCTCTCCCATGGCGGCCGAGGTGTTTGCCAGGAGGCGCTGACTGTGCTGTCGAACCTCTCTCTGGTTCATCTCCAAGGCTGCCGTCACGGTCACCAGAATCTGACGTTTTTGGGAGAGCATTTGGTGAGGGCACTCTCGCTTGTTGAACTCCACCGTGTGGCTCAGTGTCTGTACAGTGACGTCATAATGATGATGATGATAATAATA